TTTTTGGGGAGGCCAAAAGCGGGGAGGGAAGGGGGGGGGGGGGGCATGTCGTCATCTGCGGACAGCCAATGAGATCCCTGCGTCAGAAAGAACAACTTAGAAATAGAGTGATGAAGAGGAAGAGAAACATCTGTGGACTGTTTGTCTTTAAAATAAAGACAGTGTTAAAGTGTTTCATACCATTTGCAGGTGAGATGAACTATCACACACCAGAGGGTCAGATTTCTACCAAGAAAGGATCAACCAATCAGTTATTGACACTGAAGGGAGAATAGATATATTAGCAAAGAATTAAGCAAATCCAATGTGAAAATAACACCACTCCCTACATTTCACTGATAAGCAATGAAATAAACAAGGATTCAGATTCAGTTTTCACTGAAATAAATAGATTCAATTCCAGTTTGTCAGTCTAGTAACTGATTCATTTGGTTGTCTATCTTATTAAGAAAAGTGTCTCACTAGTCTTCAGTGCTAAATCATGTAAATGTGATTTTAAGGGATAAAAAGGGGCTGTAATGTACTAAGGCATTTTAATTAGAACCGAAAGTGATCAGTTGATTAATCAATTGGCCAGCTGACAAAGAAACAGCTCCAACTATTTGAATCAAGTGACTTTTCAAATACAAATGAGGAATCCTCCCTAGTCACAGATTCTTAGATGAAATAATGTGTCTCATATAAAAAATATTACGGCAGAGACAGAGGTACAAACACTGAGTCTGAAAATATCATGGCCCCCATCTCAGATTTCTGTCATCATGAGAGTAAAACTCTGAGCCACAGATATGATGTGTAAAAATAGAGACAAACTAAAAATAAAGCCAAGTTCCTGTGTGATGCACTCAGGATGCTCTCAGAGGTCCAGACACAGTATGCGTGTGTCGCTCTGACACTGCACATATACCACAGGGGAATACCACGGCAACAGAACAGAGCACGTGGCAAAACATTACGGCATAGCATGATAACACAAAATGTCATGCCCTGATATGATTACATAATAAAACACAACATGTTGACAAGTGACCTAAAGGAAGTACTAATGTGATGTGACAGAATGTGAAAGACCTTCACATAACCTGGTGAAACAGTGCAACATAACATTACAGCGGTGTAATGTACTGTGGCATGAAACAATGTTGGAAAAAATAACAACCTGAAGTGGCACAGCGTTACAGAACATAAAATGTAATACAAATGTCTTCTGTGTATTAGGCTTCCTTGCATGTCTCCATAATTTTCATACACAAGTTCTGTGCTGCAGCTTCTGTAAAAGAAAAACATGATCTCAGCAACTCATTCAAGTTACAGAAATGCCCAACAGCACCGATGATAAAGTCAGGCCATCTTCACACACAAAATTACACAGAACTAAAAGAAATATTATTAAAAACATTAAAAGGCCTTTCTTTTTGGATAAGGTTTAGTGACCTTACACTGCTGCAAATACTGTTTACATCACCAAACTGTGGGTGACTGTAGTTCAGTGGGTAGAGCAGTCATCTCCCAACCGGAAGGTCAGGAGTTCGAATCTCAGTGCCAGCAGGCCACGTGTCGAAGTGTCCTTGGGCAAGACACTAAACCCCCAAGTTGCCCCTGATGGTTAGAGCCATTGGTTGGGTTGGTGCCGCGGTTCTGTACTGGAAACAAATTCCTTGTGTGTAACGTACTTGGCCAAATAAAAAGGTGATTTTAAAATGAAATGCTAACGTGCATGAGCAACAACAAGGATTAACTATTTTTCAGTTCTTTTACAAAATGCACAGGGCCATTTCACTAAATCATCACATAAAAATACAGCATCTGTCCAAATTTATCATGGTGGAGAACATGGGTTCAATGGTCAGTTCTATACAGAAACAGACACACAATAAGCCAGCTCTTCAGACAGCAGCTGGGTGACGACATATTGCTTCAAGCAGAGTTGATACGGCAGACCTGACACCTGACAGTACCAGGGTCACAGCAACACACAGACTGCAGAAATGTCACAGAATCGCAGCAGTCATCTGAAAAACTCTCTGCAATGGTCTTGTTCTTTGCTGCTCGTCTCCAGAGTCTGATTAATTCCACTCCTGTGTGTCCAATACAGGGACAGGAAATGGGAGAAACCTGTTGGTAAACAGCCAGCTCTTACACCAACTGCTGCTAAAACCAGTGTCTCATTTTTCCTATTTCAGCATGGAAAGCAGGCAGACATTGAGTTGTTGGAAGGTCAGGCTGATGGAAGACTGGAGGTCTTTGTGCTAAGCTAGGCTAAACACTCCCTGTGTGTACTGCACACACATGAACTGATCCATCTATCTGAAACATCTGACACTGGTGAAGAGCAGATGATTTACCCAAACAAACTACAAAACAAATCAAGAGAAACTAATAGAAGTAGTGGATTGTGTAGTCGTTAAAAATAAACAAGGTTCCAGAGGTAATATGTAATAGAATAGTATGTAGTTCATATATAGATATTATTTGTAATAGTTATGTAAGGCTGAGCTAAGTGTTTACAGAAGCTTGATCTGTTTCTTGCTCAAGCAAGAATATCTTGGGCTGTGTCCCCCTTGTTTAACTTATGGGTCAACATCCCGAGTGACTTCCTCCTTAGATGGGGAATGGATATACAGTGCCTTGCGAAAGTATTCGGCCCCCTTGAACTTTACGACCTTTTGCCACATTTCAGGCTTCAAACATAAAGATATAAAACTGTAATTTTTTGTGAAGAATCAACAACAAGTGGGACACAATCATGAAGTGGAACGAAATTTATTGGATATGTCAAACTTTTTTAACAAATAAAAAAACTGAAAAATTGGGCGTGCAAAATTATTCAGCCCCCTTAAGTTAATACTTTGTAGCGCCACCTTTTGCTGCGATTACAGCTGTAAGTCGCTTGGGGTATGTCTCTATCAGTTTTGCACATCGAGAGACGGAAATTTTTGCCCATTCCTCCTTGCAAAACAGCTCGAGCTCAGTGAGGTTGGATAGAGAGCGTTTGTGAACAGCAGTTTTCAGTTCTTTCCACAGATTCTCCATTGGATTCAGGTCTGGACTTTGACTTGGCCATTCTAACACCTGGATATGTGTATTTGTGAACCATTCCATTGTAGATTTTGCTTTATGTTTTGGATCAGTGTCTTGTTGGAAGACAAATCTCCGTCCCAGTCTCAGGTCTTTTGCAGACTCCATCAGGTTTCCTTCCAGAATGGTCCTGTATTTGGCTCCATCCATCTTCCCATCAATTTTAACCATCTTCCCGGTCCCTGCTGAAGAAAAGCAGGCCCAAACCAGGATGCTGCCACCACCATGTTTGACAGTGGGGATGGTGTGTTCAGGGTGATGAGCTGTGTTGCTTTTACGCCAAACATAACGTTTTGCATTGTTGCCAAAAAGTTCGATTTTGGTTTCATCTGACCAGAGCACCTTCTTCCACATGTTTGGTGTGTCTCCCAGGTGGCTTGTGGCAAACTTTAAACGACACTTTTTATGGATATCTTTAAGAAATGGCTTTCTTCTTGCCACTCTTCCATAAAGGCCAGATTTGTGCAGTATACGACTGATTGTTGTCCTATGGACAGAGTCTCCCACCTCAGCTGTAGATCTCTGCAGTTCATCCAGAGTGATCATGGGCCTCTTGGCTGCATCTCTGATCAGTCTTCTCCTTGTATGAGCTGAAAGTTTAGAGGGACGGCCAGGTCTTGGTAGATTTGCAGTGGTCTGATACTCCTTCCATTTCAATATTATCGCTTGCACAGTGCTCCTTGGGATGTTTAAAGCTTGGGAAATCTTTTTGTATCCAAATCCGGCTTTAAACTTCTCCACAACAGTATCTCGGACCTGCCTGGTGTGTTCCTTGTTCTTCATGATGCTCTCTGCGCTTTAAACAGACCTCTGAGACTATCACAGTGCAGGTGCATTTATACGGAGACTTGATTACACACAGGTGGATTCTATTTATCATCATTAGTCATTTAGGTCAACATTGGATCATTCAGAGATCCTCACTGAACTTCTGGAGAGAGTTTGCTGCACTGAAAGTAAAGGGGCTGAATAATTTTGCACGCCCAATTATTCAGTTTTTTATTTGTTAAAAAAGTTTGAAATATCCAATAAATTTCATTCCACTTCATGATTGTGTCCCACTTGTTGTTGATTCTTCACAAAAAATTACAGTTTTATATCTTTATGTTTGAAGCCTGAAATGTGGCAAAAGGTCGCAAAGTTCAAGGGGGCCGAATACTTTCGCAAGGCACTGTAAAAATTACTGCAGGTAGTGCAATGTAGGCCTAACTTCACAAAGGTTTATTCAGCTACTGTACAATGCTGACAAAATACTAAAGTACAGCTAAAGCTTATATATGTAAGGCTCCTGACAAAGGATCTCCCAGTTCTCCCAGGTCATTTTTCACAGAAACACCTTTTTATATTACAGTCCACACCAACAACACAGTAGTTTTGGAAAATAACTAAGTACATTTACT